ACAAGATACAATTTGCACATTTTTTTAATTAGATAATATTCAACATTACTTGAATACACACAAATAGCAATTTTCTTGTCATCTACATAAGCACCTTACATTTCATTCACCACAAACACAAAGTTCAATATTAAAATTACATGTTTACTAACTTCAAATAATCATTTGTGTATTTGCTCTAGGCTTGAATTTTGAGATGTTCTAATGTTGTATTTATACTTTATATTATCACACTTTGAGCTTGCCTTAGTTTATGTTTGTTTCCAAAACAAAAAACAACACATAAATTATAGAATGAAAAGCAAGTTCATACTTGATAACTTAGTTTTGGTGTATAAGCATCCTACATGCACCGGAAAACCTGTTAAGTAACCAGGCTAAATATTATTTCAAGAAAAGTCACATCAATGAGAAAATAAGATATGATCACCATCTCATTATGAAATTTTATAAGGATGGAACTTTCTAACCCTTTTTCTTCTTTCTGTGATGTTATGATATTCTTTCTGTGATGTTATGATATTCTTGCATATGATTATCAACAACAGTGTAACACCTCAGTAGCACTTACTTTGGCAAAAAAACTTGTAAAGTATGATATTGTAATGTGAAAAAATAGAACGAAAAAAAAGTTTCATTCCAATCACACCCACACTCACCCACTTAGATGATTCCTTCTAAATACAAATATTTAACATAAACCAGTTTTGAACGGAAAGCTAGATAATGGGTCTTCCCTCCCACCTACTTCATATTTTCAAGATAATCATGAGACAACGTGATTATATGGGAGTTGATTTGCAAATAAACCAAGTTGTGTGATCAAATCTTGAAAAAAAACATCCATACCTATAACAATTTTGCCTTGTCCGAGTGATACATACCATACCCTTCCATTCCATCTGTAATGATGACCTACATGTAAAACTTGCTACATTTGATCGAACATAAACTCAATAGAACTCTTTTATATGACATTATAAAGGAAATTTATACCAAACGATGATGATGGGTTTGACATTATCTCATACTGAGACATGAAACCCAAACATTGATCCTCAATTATAAGAAATCCCAAAACATAATCTCCAAAAACCCAAACCAAAAATAAGACCAAAAGGATGTAAGTTTATGCTTTAACCCTTTTTCCATAACATCATGATCCTCTTGGAATGTTCATTAGACACCTGTCAGACATCATCAAACAAACAACTCCATTAACAAAAGACTAAAGACCGTGATCTATGTCATGACCTAAAAGGTAAAAAAAAACAGGACCGAGTCAGAAACTACTTTCACTAAAAATAATATGCTACGAACCTGATCAAAATTCCTTAAAATTGCAACAACAAAACGGAAAACTCTACAAAAATCAAGTGGTTTGAGTTGAAGTTTTTCGAAAAAAAAATGAATAAAACCAAAGAAACGACATGCTTTAAGATCATGAACATGACGAAAAGCCAAAATGAAGAATCAAAATCGTAACAGAAGAAAGATTAATACATTGATGGTTTGACAATGCCAATAATGGACTAAAGAAATTTTACTTTTCTCTTCTTGGAAGAAACAATCCCAATTGAACCGAGTGCCTTGTAACGAATTAAACACCATGGACATAAAAATACACTATTTTCTAGTAGTTTATGATCGATGAAAGTTGGGAGAAATCAAATGAGAATCATACCTCGATTGAATTGAAGGTGATCGATGTCTCGTAAGCACTAGCCTCGGTTAATTTGAGTTTGAATAAAAAGCTCCGAGTAAGACGAAGATGAAGAACTTCCTATCCAGGTGTTCGAGGGATCAAGAGAGAAAGAGGAAGAAGATATGTGTGTGATTTCTTGCATTTCTTTCCTTGATTATGTGTGATCATGGTTTTGAAAAATGAAAAAGATAGATTGGGATTAGGTTTCTATGAACGGAAAAAACTGAGTGTAAATAATAGAGTTTGGGTGATTTGATTTTCGATAAATTTGGAATGGATTACCTTAATAATGTTAATTTATTCGAGATTTTCGGTGAGGAGCACCCTGATTTATCGTTCCTGATTCCTAAATGCCAAGAAGTAGGAAAACGGAATGTAGAGATAAGGAGAGGGCAAATTCGGAAGTTCACTTTGAAATTTTTTGGGTGAATAAGACGCCACGTGGCAAAAATGGTTTCTTTTAGTAAAGAGGTAGATGTATATTAACCCTTTAATCAAGTTATTATATTGTCCTGGGAAAAACTATTTTTAACTTACATTTAAAGTTAGTAAGTTTTATAACCCGATGTTTCCAAAATTGACAATAATAGGATGGTAATTAAAATTGTGATTGTTATGTGAGTTTTTTTTTTCTCATTCATCAAAACTAAGAACACCAACTTAGTATAGTCCTCTGTAATTTCCGTTAATCATTTGTGGGCGAAGAATGTTGTGTATAGATCTAAATGGGTTGACACCCTGTCCGTGTGGTTGGTAGCTACAACCTTCTTGTGACGAGAAAAACCGGACGATAACTTCTTGTTTTTATCGTATTATTTTATCACGACGTTGGTGAAGTTTCGTTAGGACATGAAGAACCACCCTATTTATTGTGCTTCACAAAGGCGTGGATAAGTCATAACTCGGTTATTTACTCCACAAAATCCCGGATACATAAATACTAATACAAACTTCAGCAATGTTGTATTTAGTATAAAGTTTTGCTTGTAGGATGTCGAACGATTTGTGTATTTATATAAAATAAATACTTTATATTGCACCTCATGAAAAGAAATTGGTCATTAGTATTATAAGTAGGTTAACATAAACAAGAGTAAATTACACGAATGGTCCCTATGGTTTGGGGTAATTTGCGCGTTTGGTCCCTAACTTATTTTTTTAACTCGGAAGGTACCTACTGTTTGTTTTTGTTACACGCTTGGTCCCTGTCTTACCTAAAATGACTATTTTTCCCTTGATTTATTTATTTATTTAAATAAACACACCCCAAACTCCACCTCTCTCATCTTATCTTACCTACCTCAACATTTTTCTCTATTTAAATAATATTATTTTTAGGTAAAACAGGGATCAAATGCATAACAAAAACAAATAGTAGGGACCAAGTGTGTAACAAAAACAAACAATAGGGACCTCCCGAGTTAAAAAAATAAGTTAGGGATGAAACGCGCAAATTACCCCAAACCATAGGGACCATTCGTGTAATTTACTCCATAAACAATTAGATCGGTTTACAAGTATACAATTCGCGATAATTATACCAGTAACATTTTAGGTTTAACATTTTTGGTCTTAGTAAATTTTATGACATGTTTCCAAAATTTTATGACACTATTACTAAGACCGACTCCGATCCACTCTCCGCCATCAGCTGCATAAGTAGTCTCTGCTACCCTTTCCTAACTAGCCCGTGAATATTATTACATATTACTAAGACCAAATAATTTTTCGAATAAGAGATCTTTCCATACAACAGTTGAACTCAGAAAAGAGCTGCGAAATGAGAAAAATAAAAAGACGACTAGGATGAAGATTATGTTTTATGTTTTTATTTTTGAAGATTCATGAGTTTAATGTTTATGTATTTCCATTATAAAAAACCAAAAACATACGAAAAATCAAGACAAAAACGGTTCATGCCTTAAAAAAAAACCATATTGCTAAGCATTTTTTGTACTTCTTGGCTTTTACACTAAAAAATAATGCAAATGGATTTACATGCCTACAAAAGCAAACAAACCAAAACCAATTGAAAAAAAAAAAAAAAAAAAAATCAAATTCGTAAACTGGTTTCTACCAAACCGGTTACAATCTAGTTTCTACAGGTGTGGTTTTTTGCGGTTTGAACCGGTTTACAACCGAACAGAACAAACCGATTTTGACTTCCTTGATTTGATCCGAACCAGTTTTAAATCCGAGCCGGTTTGTACACCCCTCCCCTCGCAACGGAGCCGCCTAAATAGCGATTCATCACGTGTTTTGCACGGACCTTACGATCATTTTATATTAATGGTTTACTTTGGCCTTCTGCAAGTTGACTCCGAATTTGATCATGAATTAAACTTTTGGCGATTGTTCAACTTCAAGGTAACAAACAATTATCATACCATGGATTTTAACTTAAATTCTGTTCAAACGAAGCCTTTGGTTTTCCAATTTTTGATTCTAGCTTTGAGTATTCATCGTCACTTGTACAGTTGACTGTTAATTTTGAATTTTACTCCTTGAATTCATTCCAAGGATTATGCCTTTGATCTTATCCACTAAAACAATCGTACATTTCTGCGTCAGATACTTTCGATAATCAAAATTAAATTTGCTGCGGATTGAACAACAAACTTATTTGAACTATCGTGCTATCGGTCGAAGAATTTACCTATAAAATTTTCAGATTCATACAGAGTTGAAACGTAAGTCCTTTGACCTCAAAAAGTGAACCTGCACTTTTTTTTTCACTTCTTTATTTCCTTGTTTCCTTGCCTACAAATTTGTTGTGAGTTGTGTATTGACTTACACGCTTCCTCTATGTGATTCTCTAAGCACATTGAGAAAGGGGTGGAATCTCCTTTCCTTCATTGTATTCGGGATTAAGAAACGGGAATCTCCTTTCTTTTTAAGATGTTCATTCTTAATGAAAAAGTTGAAGGGTTTGTCTTATCATCTGCTTCTTTTGTAAAAGGAAGTAGAATAACTTTTTAATGGCTCTAGATGAGCTGCACAAGAGTAGCAAACACATATTTTGAAAATTATTTTCCACCTTAGGTGATATGAATTGTGATTATCCTTTTGTTTGCTATGTATAAGAATTTGTAATTTGAAAATCAGGGTTATGGAGTCAGTGTACCATAAAACCAGATTGCTATAGTATCTTATTGTGCATTTTCTTTCATTTTCAGGGACCATGGACATTGTTTCAAGTAGCTTAACGGCTGTTTCCTTGTTATTGTCACCTCTTGAGAAGCTTCTCTTCTATTCAAGAAATTTCAAAGAACGAGAAAGGACACTGCTTTGTGAAATGGAAGAGCTAATTAGTAAAGAAAACGATTTAAAAGCAGAAATAAGTATTGCTTTAGTGAACCAAAGAAAGAAGCTCAGAAGCGAGACACAATTGTGGCTTAAAAATGTTGAGAACCTCATAGCTGAGGTTAAGAACATAGAAACTGAAATCATCCAAAACAAGAGATGTATAAAAGGATGTTTCCCTAATTATCGTTCAAGATACAGACTAAGCAAAGAGATGATGAAAAGAATCAATGATATGCGTGAGCTTCATGCTAAAGGAGTATTCTCAAACGGGCTATTTGTTGATTCTTTTCCAAATCCTGGGAGAATCCTACCAACAAGTGGTTTAGTGGGTGATAAAACATTTCAAAGTGTTTCAAAGGTGATTTGGGAAGTATTAGGTGATGTAAATACTAGTAAGCTTGGTGTTCATGGAATGGGGGGTGTTGGCAAGACATCTGTTATGATGCATATTTATAACCAGCTAATCGATTGTAAGGTTTTTGATAAGGTGATTTGGGTTAATGTTTCAAAAACCCTTAATGTGGAGAAATTGCAACTTGATATTGCAAATGCTATCAATTTGGAACTCTCAGAAGAAGAAAATGTGATATGGAGATCAACAAGATTGCTTGAACATCTACAAGGGAAAAAGTTTGTTCTCATCTTAGATGACATGTGGCACCATTTCTCCTTAGAAGAGGTAGGCATCCCACATCCAACCATTGACAATGGTTGCAAATTTGTAATTATAACTCGCCTTATGGAGGTTTGTCGTGGAATGGAAACTCAAAGGGAAATCAAAGTTGAACTCTTGTCCAAAAACGAAGCATGGGATCTATTCACAACCAAATCAGGTCCAATTTGTGAAGAAATAGAATCTATTGCAAAATCAGTGTGTGAAAATTGTGGGAGATTGCCACTTGCAATCATCACAGTGGGACGTGCCATGAGGAAAATTGAAGATAAAAGACTTTGGAAGAATGCGCTTGAAGAATTAGAGACCTCAAGAGCAGAAATTTCAGGTATGGAAGAAGATGTGTTTGCTAGACTCAAGTTTAGTTATCTTCACTTAAAAGATGACCACATCCAAGCTTGTTTTCTGTATTGTGCATTGTACCCTGAAGATCATAGGATCAAAGCTTCTGAACTTATAGAGTACTGGATGGCAGAAGAGTTGATTACTGAAGTAGGTGATCGAGAAAAGGAAATCAACAAGGGTTACACAGTGCTAAAAAAGCTCAAAGATGCTTGCTTGTTGGAAGACATAGGATCCGATCATGTCAAGATGCATGATTTAGTAAGAGACATGGCTATCAGAATTGCTAGAGAAAGTCCAAGGTTGATTACTAAAGCTCAAATGAAATTAAACCGAATGAAAAGAGAATGGATTGAAAACGTTGAGTGGGTGTCTTTAATGGACAACAATATTACCATTTTTCCTGATAATCCCAACTGCCAAAAACTATCTACTTTGCTTCTTCAAAGAAACCCTCTTCCTGAAAAGATTCAAGATTCGTTCTTTATGAAGATGCAGTGTCTTAAAGCACTTGATCTCTCTGGAACTGGAATAAAATCACTACCAGAGTCTGTTTCAAGTTTATGTAATCTTCGTGCACTTCTGTTAAGCTTCAGTAAGATCAAGGAGCTTCCTTCATTAACCATGTTGAAGGAGTTAAGGGTGTTGGACTTATCACATAGCCGTTTGAGAAAGCTACCACATGATATAGAAAATTTAAACAATTTGAGGCGTTTAGATTTGTCTTACACTGAAAAACTACAAACATTCCCATCTGGTGCTATCCAAAAGCTTTCTTGTTTAGAAAACTTTTCCATGTTCAAAAGCAACTGGAGGTGGTCAGCAAATAGAGATGGATTTGAATCATTTGATGAAATTTCAAGATTGTCACGGTTGACCAGTCTTGGACTTTCCTTTGAGGACAAAACCAGCTTCATTGGCTATGTGAAATCCAAACAATGGTTGGTTCTTGAAAGTTATCATCTTGGAATAGGTCAGTTAAACATTTTGCTACCCACTGTTGAAGGAATGCGAAGCATTGAAATTCAAGATTGTAACCTTTGTCATCAAGACAAAATGATTGAGCTTCCAAACAATATCCAACAATTGGCACTCCACAGTTGTCATGATATTACTATTTTATCAGAGCTTTCCGACACAACCAACTTGGAAAATCTGAGACAATGTTACATCTCAAACTGTAATGGCATGGAGTTCATCACAAAAGCAGATAACTTTTTTCCAAATCTTGAACTACTTGTCCTACGAAAGCTGCCAAAGTTGAAAGCAATATGTAATGGTATTACATCGAGTCAGATTTTCACAAAGGTGAAGAGCCTACAGATCCACAGCTGCAATAAAATGAAGTCTTTGTTTTCATCTCATATGCTACAAGACTTCCAGAACCTTGAAGAGATTGAGGTGTGGAACTCAAGATTGATTGAAGAAATGGTGGAAGAAGAACAAAGTGGAGGGAATATCAGTAGCTTTTCAACAGTTTTACTTCCAAAGCTTCGCCGATTATCCTTGTCCATGTTACCAGAATTGAAATACATCACAAGAAGGGTTTTGATTTGTGATTCTCTTGAAACAGTTGAGATTTGGGATTGTGAGGTTTTGAGGGCTCTTCCATTCTCTATTAGCTACTTGCCATCATCTCTTAAGAACATTAAGGGAAACATAAATTGGTGGGATCAGTTAGAATGGGATGACACTAGTTGCAAGAATCTTCTGCAACCATTCTTTGACCAAGGTACATAAATCTTCTGCAACTAACTAGTGACAACTTTCTGCATTAGTTGCAAGATCTGAACTTAATAGGGCGTGGAGAAGTCGGCTACATCACAAGACACAAATCTGCCAAAAAGGAGCAGACCTGACATTAGCAAGACAGGATGCTGAGACATCATTGTGGAAAACAATGTCACCCATGTAGACCCTAGGAATGATTCATAGACATCTGAGGTGAGGTGAGGCTCATTATAAACAACGAACACAACAACTTGATGCTATGTTAAAGTTATGTATCCATCTATATATTTGTCTTTTATAGTAAACTATCTCATATTTCTAACTACCATGCTTGCTTTCATGAATATTGTTTAATCCCCACGTAGAGAGAAAGATTGTGACTTTAAATATATTTGTTGGCTTTGGTAAACTATATAACGAAATAGGATCTCACTCTAGGGATCGTGAGTAGTGGTATGGAATCGTGATGTATATTAGAAAAGACCTAAATATTACATATAGACAAAACTAGGTGCTAAACTAGGAAAGTGCTAATTATATGGGAGACCCTTATACAAATGGAAACAAATACTAGCATAGATACAGGGTAACCTTGAGTGCATCCATGTCCATGACCATGTTCGTGATTATAAACAAATACTAGCATAGAAACGGGAATGACTGTTTTTTTTCTCAATCTTTTTAATCTTGGTTCCATAGGAGCAAGTCAAAAAGTAGAACCATTTGTTATGTTTGAAATAAAGGGTGAAGGTGAATCGCAATAACTTTGTCACACCCCCAAACCAAGGATGATAGGAACGTGCGGGGGTGGAGGACTTCATGTATAGTATCATAACGAGTATAATACTGATCAAAGTAAATACAACCATCATAAATATAACCGAGAAAGTTGCATGGTTACATGAGTTACATGTTTCAAAATCGATTACAATATAATGATAAAAGAGTTTGTCTGAAACCGTAGCGTTCCATCCTCAAAAGCTGGTAGTTACATGTTTTTATTGATTACCTAAGAATACAAGTAATTTTGAAAGGGTATCAACAATTAAGTTGTAACACCGTGAATTTCAAAACAAATTTTCGCATTTTATAAAAACATAATTCATTTAATATTCGTGAAAACACCCATGTTTGAAGTTCAATCCATGTCATACAAAATCCCAAGATCTCATAACATAAAGTCCCGTGTGTGTGTACTGATCATGCCGGCGCCTTCCCACGGTCGTCACTAGTACCTGAAACAAATAACACCAAACACTGTAAGCACAAAGCTTAGTGAGTTCCCCAAAATACCACATATAACACATATTAGCCACTCGAGGCTATAACTCTGTGGGTCCGTGCACCCAAACTCTGTGAACCCTCAGGTTCTAACTCTATAAACATGCACAACATAAATCACATAGAATAATGCAGTGCAACACATGACATATATATAGCATACAAACACTGTATCACATAACTCTAGTTACCTACTCAAGGTAAAGTATAGTGAGAAGACTCACCTCGCGTATCTCGATAACTCGCAAATCCCTGAAATCACTCGTGCTCGATCCCCCGAGCTATAATCCTCCTATAATACAACATATATATATATATATATATATATATATATATATATATATATATATATATATAATTAACACTTTCATTACTAAGGTTGACTAACCCTACCAAGTCAACACTGATCAACTCTGGTCAACGGTCAACGGTCAACTTGACCGGACTCAATGAGTGCACCAAAGCGACTCGGCGAGTCTATACGCGTTCACTGACTCCCTCGGATCCTCTCTTGACACGTCGAGTACTTCCCTAACTCGACGAGTTCCACCTGGTATGAATCGCGGGGCAACCACGACTCAACTCGCCGACTCTCAAGAACAACTCGGTGAGTTCCGGCTTGACTCAGCCCCATATTGACTCTCCCTGACTCACTGGGTCATCCCCCAACCCGGCGAGTCTACTCGCTGAACACTTTACGTGAAACCTCAACCTTACTCGCCGAGTCTCAAGAACAACTCGGCGAGTTCATGCCATGCACAAACTCTATTGACCTTCTGAGGTCAGATCTGCTTTCCCAAACCATAGACCTGGCCTTCCCAAGCATGAATGTCACGTAAAGTTCGAAACTTGATGCTTGTATAACCCCCACAAGGCATCAAAAGGAGATTTGGTCCCAAAAATAACCACCTAGGTCCAATGACTCCATAATAACCCAAAAAGCTCCAAGGGCTAAGGTCTCTGGACCTCTTTAAGTCTAGATCCAAGGCACAAACTCGAAGAGGGACCATTTGCTTCACATAATCACTCTCCAAAGGGGTTATAAAACCCTAATTCTAAAGATCAACCCTAAAACTGAAGGAGATTCGAACCATTACCTCAAAATGAAGCCTCTGGACTCTGGATCTGCTGGAATCTCACCTCCTCCTTGCTCTTGCCACCTTCTTCTTGCTAAACAAGGAATACAAAGGCCCAAAAGTGACTTCCTCTCTCCCAAAACGAATTAGCTCTCTTAGGGTTCTCTCAAGGGACTGGTAGCCGCAATGGGAGGCTATAAGTGCCCTTAAATAGGCTCCAAACCCGGGGAATTAGGGTTTCATTAAACAACATGGACTCGCCGAGTCCAGACGCGAACCCGAGTCCAAAACTGCGATCCTACTAGGCGAGTTTGAGCTCCAACTCGCCGAGTCTCCTCACAAAATACCAAAAATATAAGAATGAATAATACCTGGGAATCCGGGCTGTTACAATTCTCCCCCACTAGAACTAGACTTCGCCCTCGAAGTCTCGCTCTACAAATAACTCCAGATGCTGCTCGCGCATCTCACGCTCCGACTCCCAAGTCATCTCGGACCCCTTCCGATGCTGCCACTGAACCAAAACCAAGGGTACCTCCTTGTTCCTCAGAACCTTGATTTTCCGATCTCTGATTGCCACAGGTCTCTCAGCATAATTCAGGCTCGCATCCAGCCATCCACCTGAATATCCTCTAATGGAACCACTGCCGATTCATCGGCTATACACTTCCGCAATTGCGACACATGGAAAGTGTCGTGAATCTGCCCCAACTCTGCTGGCAATTCCAAACGATTGTCTCAGACCACCCAAAATGGACCAATATATCGGGGCCCCAACTTGCCCCTCTTCCTGAATCGAATCACTCCTTTCCAAGGAGAGACCTTCAGGAGCACAAAGTCGCCGACCTGAAACTCAAGCTCGGACCGGCTTCTGTCCGCATAAATCTTCTGACAACTCTGAGCGGTCAACAACCTCTGTCTGACCTGATGGATCTGCTCTGTCATCTGAAGTACGATCTCAGTACTGCCCATAACACGCTGTCCGACTACTCCCCAGTAAATGGGGGTCCGACACCTCCTCCCATACAACAACTCAAAGGGTGGCATACCAATGCTCGAATGATGACTGTTGTTGTAAGAAAACTCTGCCAAGGGCAAGTACGTATCCCAACTCCCCCCGAAATCCAACACACATGCTCGGAGCATGTCCTCGAGCGTCTGAATCGTCCGATCACTCTGTTCGTCTGTCTGGTGGTGATATGCGGTACTAAAATGCAGCCTAGTACCCAGCTCCTCATGAAACTTCTTCCAAAATCTGGAAGTGAAACGTACATCCCGGTCTGAGACAATCGAGATCGGCACCCCATGCCGAGATACCACTTCCCTCACGTACATCTCTGCTAACTTCTCTGCGGAGGAGCTCTCACTAATAGCAAGGAAGTGGGCGCTCTTCGTCAACCTGTGCACAATCACCCAAATTGCATCGACTCCCCTAGCAGTCCTCGGCAATTTGGTGATAAAATCCATGGTAATCTGTTCCCACTTCCATTCGGGAACCTCCAACGGCTGCAACTTACCATGCGGTTTCTGGTGCTCGGCCTTAACCCTACGGCAGGTTAAGCACCTCTCAACAAACCACGCAACATCCCTCTTCATACAGGGCCACCAATACTCCCTCCTCAGATCCAAATACATCTTAGTGGCCCCAAGATAGATCGAGAATTTCGACTGATGAGCCTCTTCCATCAAAATGGTATGCGTCCCTCCCACAAACGGTACCCAAATCCACCCCTGAAATGTCATAATCCCCCAACCATCGGTAACGAACTTCGATACCAACCCTACAACTCGCTCCCTCTTCTGGTTCTCCGACCTCACGACCTCAGCCTGTGCTCCACGAATGGTGTCCAACACCGGAGCCATCACGGTCAAACGCAAACATACACCTCGCAACGGGGCGCTCTCCGCCCTGCGACTCAGGGCGTCGGCTACCACATTAGCCTTGCCCGGATGGTACAGGATCTACAATCATAATCCTTAACCACATCCAACCACCTCCTCTGCCGCATATTAAGGTTGGGCTGATCCATCAAATACTTCAGGCTCTTATGGTTCGTGTATATCATACATCAAACCCCATACAGATAGTGACACCAAATCTTGAGGGCGAACACCACTGCCCCCAACTCTAGATCATGGGTGGGATACCTCATCTCATGTGGCTTCAGCTGCCTCGATGCGTATGGTATCACATGTCCTCTCTGCATCAGCACCGCTCCCAACCTCAAGATCGATGCATCACAGTATACCACAAAGTCCTCCATTCCCTCCGGGAGGGCTAACACCGGGGCCTCGCATAACGTTTGGCGAAGCGTCTCAAAGGAGGCCTGCTGCTCGGGGCCCCATGAAAAAGCGACACCCTTCCAGGTCAACCTGGTGAGTGGCACTACGATCTTAGAGAAATCCCTGATAAATCTCCGATAATAACCGGCCAACCCTAGAAAACTCGTGATCTCGGAGGGTGACCTCGACACCTCCCAATTCATCACCGCCTCAACTTTGGCCGGGTCGACCAATATCCCTTTCTGGTTAACGAGATGACCCAGGAACTGGACCTCTCGCAACCAGAAATCACACTTGGAGAATTTGGCAGCCTCTCCGATCTCAGAACTCCGAGGATCTCCCTCAAATGCTCCTCATGCTACTCTCTAGATCTCGAATATACCAAGATGGCATCGATGAATACAATCACTGACCGATCCAGCATCGGCCTACACACTCGGTTCATGAGATCCATGAACACTGCCGGGGCATTGGTAAGCCCAAAAGGC